TCGTTAATAAACAGGTAAAACTTTATTCAAAGTCAAATTAAAAGATTCATATGAACTTTTTGAAAGTTAGATGTAGTTTTTATTGTGAAATTCCTATATAACCCTTTTATAAATCTCCTTACCTGCTCTGAGTGTTAAAGTGAGACAGAGACTGGAGGCTGCTCTGTCAGCTACTTTGATTTAGAGACCTTTGAATGCAGGAAATAATGTTATAAAACTTGTTGGTTTATAACATCTTGTTGTTAGTTTACGTGAATATCTAGAAATCACATCATTGAGCTCATCTGATTCTGGGATGGACACCTGTCTATTATTGAGCTGCTAACTTTATTGGTGTTTCCCAAGTAACATCAACCATCCAATAAACATTTTTTTATCTCATTTTGACAAAATATCAAAGAAGATGGACTTTGACGATATTCTATTTAAAGAAACAGTGTTAGTAATGGTTACACATCATATTCAGCCATTTATAATTTCTGATGTCAGTTATTGTGTTTAATGTCTAATCAGGACAATGATAGTAGATTGGTAATGAGGCAATTGAAGCTGTAAAAGATGGAGAGACTGAGGAAGCTGGAGTAATGATTAGTAAAATATCATCAGGGTGAGATTTAAGGTTAGTTTTAAAACGTATATTATTGATAGAACTTTGTTGTGATATTTTACCAGTAGATTATGGATGTATGATTAACTGGAACTGGAGGTTGTATTTAAATAATAGATTATTCAAAAGCGAGGGTAAAACCAATTGAATGTCACTAGTTGAATAATTATAACTGTAATCTGCATACTCATCAGGAGTCTTGGCCTCTCACATCCCTGGTTGACTTCTGGACCGGCTGTTTAAAATTTGGTTCTCTTCATCAATATAGTAAATTAGGCCATAGCTATCAACAGAGTTATTAATCATCAACCAAGATCACTGTCTCTGTTTATTCAAATGTTACCAAGAGGAGGGAGAGTCCGACCTGGGTGAGAAATAATTTGCTGCAAAATAAACACAAACTAGTACAGGTTAAGTCTCAACAGATGCTGTTTTTTTTTACCTTTTGGCAGTCACCTGCTGATGCTGGATATAACCATAATGTAATGTCATAATACCATGCAGGAAAATCAGGGGTCTGTGGAGGGAGTCAAAGAGAGGGAGAGATGGGAGTAACACAGAACAGGAGGAAGGGTTGGAAAGAGCAGCATAACACCGAGCTGTTAGCTTGGTTATTAGATATCGGAGGCCTGACTTTTGTATCTTGGGCAAAATTTTTCACTAATTTTCATGGATTTTTTTGAGAAGAAGGAAGCTTATTTGGCCTTTTAATGGCCAAACTGTGTTTTAGTTTGGAGCCGCAAACGGTTCACACTGAAGTCAGATTTGGGCAAAGTTTTAATGACATGTCAACAACCAAACAAAAAATTAGATTTCAGAAAAAAATAATGAATATGAGCATTAAGACCTGCAGTGGGAACATAGTCTAAAAGGTGCTGAACACTGGAGCTCTAGGGCCCGAGCTGAAGACCCCTGAGTGTCAGATGATATTTCACTTCAACATGGAGAAAATCAAACTTCAACCTAAAGTATCATGAAACAAACACAGTATTGATGTCTGTTTAAATGTGTGATGTTACAGTATCGGTGCATGTGAACTTTAAATGAGTTCTGAGGTTTGAAAATGAAATCTGTTTAAGAAAATATGCTAATAGCTTTTAAGTGTAAAGCTGAGATGAGCTGAGAGGCTGTTTGGTTGATGACGTCATTGTGTTGCTGAAGCATCACAACAGGCTGCCTGGTTTAACAGACTTTATGTGAAAATATTCTAGTTTATCATTTTTTTATCATATACTGAAAATGTTTTAAGGTGTTAATGCGTGTAAAACGGGTTTAAAAAAAATCTAAGATGCCTTGTATTTTTGTTTTTTACATCTATTTTCTTATGTCTTTTTTTTTTATGGTGGCTGAATATTTTAATATCTATGAGTAGTTCTAATTGGTTTTTGTCCACAAATGTGATGTATGTGTTATAATGTAGCTGTAGCTTTAAAATAAATTGAGTTGCTATGTCTATTAATGTCTGTTAATGTCACCCATCAATGTGTTAACTACGTATATTTCTCTGTTCATTGTGGGTTAAAATCTCCAGAGCTCTGCTGCTGCTGTTCACCACATTCTCACGAATCACTTCCTCTTCAGTTCATAGAAAAACACTTCAGAGGTTAAACTGGAAACCAGCAGGTTTTAAAAGTAAAATATAATCCTACCAGTGTGACTGATCTATGAAATTAGACATTTGATCTGCTGCTCTTCATCAACAGAGATCAGATCTCCTGGATTTATCTGATTGATTCTCCAGGTTTCTAAAACATCTAAACAAAAGAAGAAGTGCATTTCTCACATCTATCTAAAGTAAAAATATTCACACACTGATCTACTTCCTCTTTTATGGACTTCTTGCATGTCGCTGTCTATAATGTCCTCTAATGAGGCTGAACAAAAAGCTCTCGCAATGTTTAAGTTTCTATTTTTTACAGCAGCTTTTCCTCGAAATTTTGATCTTTTTATTAAAAATATATAATAGTTGATGATTTAGTCTTTCATCCTCAGTTAAAACAAATAGATGTTTTTACCAAATAAAGCAGCAAGTCGCCCATCAGTCAGAGTGAGGAAGTGGTGAGTCTCAGGAAGTAAAAGCTACATGTGTCTTCAGCAGGCAGTCAGACAGTTCTGAGGGTGAGAGCAACAGACGCACGATGGCTCAACTCAGATGGATTCAAGGGTTTTTATTAATGATCCTGCAGCTCACAGGTAGGAAGACTGAAAACCTTTGTGTAGAGCTATAAATGATAGATCTGCTTTATCAACTGTGTCTGTGTTCAGATTGAATATTTCTGGTTCTGTTTTATCTTTTAACAGTCACTGCAGATCATACAACTGTTTTAAAGAGAGCTGGAGATGAAGTCACATTGAAATGTTCAACAGTGATCAATGGTCGACAGAAGTGTAACAGCACTACATGGATCTTAAGTGGTTCAGGAAACAGAGCATCAGTAGAGCTGGTTGAACTCGGTCAGATTAAGAATGACATCACTAAAGCAGTCAGACTGAGTCTAACAGCAGACTGTTCTCTGGTTATGAAGAAGGTTAGAGAGGAAGATGCTGGACGTTATATCTGTGAACAATGGGAATATAGAGGAGCACACGAACCAGTTCATCAGTCTCATGTAGATCTGTCTGTTCTTAACAGTGAGTATCAAATTTTGCTAAATGACATGATTTATGTTCGAGTTAAAACATTTTTTTCCAACAGTGAGTGGGAAGGATTAAATTGAGTCATCAGTGATGAAACAGTAGGAGAATGAGAGGGTCATATTAAGCTGCTCTGTGGTGACCTTTGTAGCCTGACGTAGTCCGACTCAATTCTAGTCAGAATATGAGTCTGATGCTGCTCCATAGAGCTGTGATTATGGGGCGTGTTTCGAACGAACCAGTAAAAAAAATGCCTCTGCACTCAATTGGATAAACCTACAACCAATAAGAGCAACGAGTGCGTGACGTATGTTAAGCGAGGCATAGTTGTTGTCAACAAAAATCAAAGCGTGCAGTTGCACGCCTAGAATAAGAAGATGAGCCTTGATCGCGTTTCTCTGTTCCTCTTTTAAAATTAATTTGCTGTCAATATCTTCTAGAACAGACCTAATAGCAGAATCTACTCACCTAAACTCTCCAGCGGCAGCCATTGTTGTTGTCACCCATGCGCGCTTTGGTCACATGGTTGATTACATTACTGTTGATCATCTGTCCATCATCGTATAAAGCCCGCCCTGACATTTTGATTGGATCGCCAGAGAGTGGGCGATCATACTCGCGCTACTATGGAGCAATGCCAGACCGAACTTCCCGACCTCAAACGTTGTGGGCGGGACTAAGTTCGGAATGGCACCCAGGGTATGACCTTTGACCTCTGTAGATACGAAGTGAAATGGTTTAATCAGGATGTGGAGCTATAAATGATAGATCTGCTTTATCAACTGTGTCTGTGTTCAGATTGAATATTTCTGGTTCTGTTTTATCATCTGTCACTGCAGATCAAACATCTGTTTTAAAGAGAGCTGGAGAGGAAGTCACATTGAAATGTTCAACAGTGATCGATGGTCAACAGAAGTGTAGCAGCACTACATGGATCTTCACTGATTCAGGAAACAGAGCATCAGTAGAGCTGGTTACCCTCGGTCAGATTAATAATGACATCACTAAAGCAGACAGACTGAGTCTAACAGCAGACTGTTCTCTGGTTATAAAGAAGGTCAGAGAGGAAGATGCTGGACGTTATTACTGTGAACAATGGAAATTTAGAGGAGCACACGAACCAGTTAATGAGTCTGCTGTAGATCTGTCTGTTCTTAACAGTGAGTGTTAATATTTATTAAATTATTGTTTTTGTATTTAAAAGTCAAATCATTTTATGCAGCAATATTTAGAAATGATTAGTGATGGAGTTCATTTGTCTGATTTAGTGTTTTATTGTTTCTCTCTTCCTTAGTAATTAAACAGGAGAACCAGAGGGTGACATTAAGCTGCTCTGTGGTGACCTTTGACCCCTGTAGATACAAAGTGAAGTGGTTTAATCAGGATGTGGACAACAAAGAACCACCATCAGAGACTGGCTGCTCTGCTAATGTCTCTTTATCATCAGGGTCTGAGTTCCCTCAGTGTAAAGTGACTGATACTGTTACTGATGAAGAGTTTACCTTCAGTCTTCAGTCCTCAGGTGAGAAACAGGTTAGAGGATGATCAACTGAAGAAGATCACTGACATCACAGGAAACTCAGGTTAGATTCAGCATTTGGACACAACTGGACTATTTTCTTATTTTAGCAACAATCGGATTGTTATTAATGACCATAATCAACTGATATAGTTATTTAATCTGTCTAATACTTTGAAAGAGTTTTAAAGACTAACATATGAACAGTTTTGGTTTCTGACACTTTGTTCTTGTTTCCAGAAATATCAGGAGGAAAAGTTCAACCAACAAACAAACCTGGAAACAAAAACTCAAAGACAACCAGACCAGAAACCAAAAATATCTCACCAACCTTTCAAGGTAGTGATTGTTCTAATGTTTTAGTATATTTCAAAATCATGATCATATGATGTATATTATAATCTGCTCATTTTGGTCCTTTTGGTTCTGAAATGAGAGAATAAAGATGAAATAACATTTAAGAAAAAATTCTGATAAAAACTTTACTTATAAATTAAACCTTTACATTTAAAAGACAATATAATCCATTTCATTACAAAATATTTTGCAACTTTGTTTCTTATTTTTCCTGTAAACTGAACAAATGAAGCCACTCCAGGAAACAAGGACCCAAAGCAAACAGTTGGGAGCAGGAGAACTTCTGTCACATCAAATCAAGGTTTGACCCAATTATACTCAGTAAATTAATATGAATATATGAGTGGTTTGTCTTGAGCTCCTGTTATGTTGTTGTTATTTCAGTCATCTTTATACATACTGTGGTGATCATGACATGGAGAGTTAGGAATGAGAGTTCTGACTGATAAAACCACAAATACATCCTTCTAAATTATACTTTTTCTGAGTTAAATCAGACTCGCAGTTTTAAAAGACATCATCAATGTTCATAAAAGTCACTCTATCCTCCATAGGCTGGACATTTTAGAGCTTTGGTGAATTTAAAACAATTGTCCTTCAGAGTTGGTCTTATTTTGACAAGTTGAGAAAATGTTGTAAAGCTCACTGGCAATATAATGCAAAAATAATAATAAAAATTATATATATATATATATATATATATATTTCCTTTGTACTATGTGGGCCTGATCAAGAACAATATAGTGTTTATTTTTTTATTATTTTTTTTTTTTAAGTGTCATTTCTGGTGATGTGGCAATAAGAATAATTGTCTTGATGCCAAAAAGAGCCCAACAGATTTTACTTTCACAAGTGGAGCAGTACGGCTATTGCCATATTGTTCCAATAGTTTTATGCATATAAATTGCTTTATTGTAATTATGCGGGGAGTTTTACAGATTATATGGACACTGCAATGTAGGTAGAAGAGGAAAGGAAAAACAGAAAAAGGAGAAATAGATGAAAGAAAGAGGAGATAAAAGGGAGATAACGATAAAACATTTTCAGTCTTCATCATTTGCAAAAAGATGTTAAAAGAACAGCACAACCAACAGACATGGTACGAGACATAAAATAAACTAACACCTAAATAATATCGTTGAAGTATTAGTTAATCTGACATGTACTCTGTGTTAACTGAAGACTAGTCTTTAGCCCTAAGGTGAGAAAATGGTTAGAAGATGATGAATTGTAGAAGATCGCTGACATCACAGGAAACTAGGATTAACTGCAAGATTTTTTTAAATATCTGGACTGGATACTCAAATGTATTCATACATAGATTTTTGTAAATTATCAAATCATCCATTATAGTTTTATCTATAATATTTTGAAATAGTAAAAAAACTGAAATAAAAACAGTTTTGATTATTCTGCTGCGTTTTTCATTTCAGGAGGGAAGGTTCAAACAGCAAAGAAACCTGGAAGCAAACAGTTTACAACAACCCAACCAGGAACAGTCAATACTCCACCAACTTTACAACAAAGTAATCCTTTAATGTTTGAAACAAAGCTATATGTTTAATTAGAAGTTGATATCATGTCTGTTTTTCTCTGCCTATTTTAGCATATTTTTTTGCAAATCTTTCATTGTAGCTTCTTGATGTGCATCAATTATCTTTTAAAAATGAATCAGTTAATTTCACACAGATCAGGAAATTTAGGCCTAAAGATTTTTAAATATTATGAATCTTTATGAGGCAAATATTTGCCTTTAGAATAAGTTGCGTTGCATTTTTTTTCAACATATTTACAAACTTTTTTCTTTTTTCTGATTTTCCTGAAAACTCAACAAATAAAGCCACCAGTGTAAAAAAAAAAAAAAAAGGGGCTTAAAGCAAACTAGGACCCCATCATACTCAGTAGATTAATATAAATATGCAGCTGATGTTGGTGTGTGGTTTGTTTTCAGCTCATGGAATCGTTGCTGGAGTCTTGGTTCCTCTCATTTTCTTTATATTTGCTGTAGTGATCATCAGATGGAGAGTAAAAGGTGAGAACAGGGACTGAAAAAAATAAAATCTTTAATGATCATAAGTGCTTGTGATAAATTAGAATTTTGTTGTTGTTTTTTGATTTTTCAGGAAAGAAAATCCCGACCAGTGAAAATGCTGTGAGTAAAGTTTAAATCTATTTGATCTATTTGATGTGTCTTTGTTTCTCTTTTTATTCTTTTGAGTTTTTTTTTTCTATTTTCTCTGTAACTGGTAGCCTGATAAACCAGACTAAATGTGAGATTAAATGTGTAATTTAGTCTGGACCTGATGAATGAGACATCAGAAGATTTTTGATGAGAACAACCCGTTGTTTTTCAAACCATGTCTGTGCGTATTGGCCAACGCTCTGACCAATGAGAGCAACTGACTGTGACGTAGGAAGCATGACTGAAAGCTGTTGGGGGAGTGTAAACAAACAGCCTGTCGGTAAAACGGCGAATACGTCCTTCTTAAAAATGAATGAGCGTAGAGCTTTTCCTGCTCACGTTTCAATGAAAACCCCAAGTCTAATTCTTTCCAAAACTGATTCCAAAGCTGAGTCAAACGAGAACTGTTCAATAGTTGCCATCTTCCTTATTGTGCTTTCTCCAGCGTTGCGCAGCTTTGTCGTCACGCCCTCAAAACCCCACTCACTTTGCATCCAGAAATTCAAAACACATCTCTGCGTTGTGATTGGCCCGCCAGTTCTAGGGCCTGGGGCATTAATCAAGGCTAGACCACTCGCAGGCCAAAATAATTTTGGCCGCTGGTGGGTGGGGCTAGCTTACTAGGCTAGGTAACTGACATAAATGCAAAGAACTCAGTCTGAAACCTAATCCAGACAGGACTCAGTGTGAATATTTGTTCTCGAAAAAAAACCTCCTCAAGACAGCATAGAAAATGGTTATCTGTTGCAAGGAATCTAGAAATATTTATTAGATGTGCTCATACTCCTCCGCTTTATCAGAGACCGGTTCGCTCGGGCAGCAGTCTCTGCAGAGACTCTCAGACTTTCCTCTCACCAGCCTCCTCCTCCAGCTCAGCTGGGGGAAGACTGAGGCGTCCAAAGAAAGGCATCCAGGATGTGATTCTAAAAAACTAAAACATTTTTGATAAATATTTTTGTTTTTATTCCTAAAACCAAACCAAGATGTTTAAAAAAAAAATGTGTTATCATTTTATGGATGAAGGTAAACATTTCTAACTCTGTAATTTAATTAAAGTTATTTGATTTATTTTTATGGTTCTTTCCTCTCCAGGTTGATCTTGGAGGTGATGTTACCTACGCCACCATCACACATCCAGGGAAAAATAAAAGAAAAAATAAAGTAAGATAGTTTCTACATTTTCACAGTTTAATGTCATGTTAAAAGGATAAACAATCAGAGAGAAAAATGCCAAAGTTTGCTCATAGAGCCACCACTATTTTTCTGCATGATGGTTGTAAACCATAAAATCAGTTTGAACATGTTTATTTTAAACTAAATTTTCATTGAGGCCTAACTTTCTTGAACCACTTCTTATTCTGTTCTTTCTGTAATGTAGATAAAAAGAAAATAAATCCTATAATGAAGTTAGAGATCACAGGATCTCAGTAGGGAGGTAACACTTTAAAATTACCCTGAATCTTCAGGCTGCATGTTTGTGAAAAATGTATTTTCATTATTTTTCATTTAAACTCCTCAACATGTTTTATTTGGCTTCAACCTCAAATATTAATGTTTCAGTTTTGCAACAGCATCAATTTTGTTATACATTAGGGGAGAAAGTCCCAAATATCACGTATATTTTTATTATATCTCCAGCAGCAGATGATACACAGATACTATTCTGACTTTATTCTGACATTTTGCCATCAGGTCCAATTTTCTCTCATTTAGTTATTTTGTACCTGAGTGAATTCCTCCCATAGCTTTTGAGTTACAGACTTTAAATTCAGTGTGCATAGACTTAATGCATTGGGAGTCAATTGTTATCAAATTATTTTTACTACATCAAAGCATGTGGCCATGGCCAAACCTAAAAATTTGACTTCTTGCCATAAAACTAATGGACATGATAAAGTAATATCTGAGCAAACTCCTCAACATGAGAGTTAACTTGGCTCAACATAGACTTAAGGAATTGGGGATCAAACGTTACCAAAGGATTTTTTCCTCCATCAAAGCATATGAGCTTAGTCACATGGCCACAGGGGTCAAAATTGGAATGAATAATTCCACAATAGGAATTCAACCCATTTAACAATAAATCTGTCCCAGGCCATGCTTTTACTGAGGAATAATACATTTTATACACATGATACACATGTGTAACTCATCAAGGTCTACAAAACAGTCCTGGAGACATTTTAAATCAAGCCAGTATTCTGTCTTTTTTATTCATATTGAAGCAAACTTAAGTCATTGGGGATCAAAAGTTATCAAAGTGATCAAATTTTCAAAATCTGACTTCTCACCATAAAATATCATATAAATGTATTGTATATATATCAATATTGTATATATGTATATATCTATCTATATATATAGATCTATATATCTATATATAGATATATAGATCTATATATAAAACATGTGATGAAAATAAGATCTAAGGTGTCTCCTGACAGCAGCTATCTGAAATGTGGTCCTATCCAAGATGGCCGCCCTCTAGGCACACCGGCCAGTGTCCAATGAGGTGTCTACGTATATAATGTCTATGGTGTTAGCGCTGATGATGTCACCAGTGCGACAGAAATCAAGAAAGTAAACAATGGAGAACAACATGTAAGGAAGCCAGGGCGTAGTTGGTGTGCTTTGTTGTTTCACTCTATTAACTTTCCAAATCCCTCATACCAGCGCTGTGCCTTATTTAACAAATGTAAACATTGTTTTTTTTGGTTTGTTAGAACAGACATGGCTGGCGCGGGTTGTTGACGCCTGTACGTTGCGTTCAATGGTATCACGTAATTTAGCGGTTCAACCCAGCTCTGGTGTTCCCACAGCATGCTGATCTGTATCGAGTTGATTTTAACACAGGTCACTTGCAGAGTCGTTTGACCCAGTTAGACACACGTCAGTGAGCTGTTCCCACTGCCAATAAAAGCCGATTGTTCCCGGGTTTAAACAGGTTTTTCAGACAGAGGGAAAGGGGTATAACAGATCTTGGAAGATTAAAACTTCTAGTACTTTGATAAAGTTGTAACTCTGTGTTTCTGTTTCCAGGTTGGTGGAGATGCTGATGCTGTGACCTACAGCACAGTGAGAGCCTGTTCCTCTTCTGCTGCAGCCTCTGATAATCCCAACAACCTCTACAGCGTCATAAGTTCCAATAACTGAAACAGTAAAGCAGACCTGCTCTCTATAGTGGTAACATGGAAGTTTAGTAAAAGTACACAACTTTTCTCACCAAATTAGCTCAAAATTTCTGCATTCAGGGACTAAAAAAACACATTTATACTGAGGCCTAATATGTTTGTTTCTAATTTATTCAAATATTACACAGATGGTTTCTGGGTTTCACAGTAATCATCATCAAAGGTCTGTAAACAAATGGTTTTCATAAAGCAAAGCAAAAAAGCTTACAATTGTTATTAATAAGCATAACTATAAATAAAACTGTCCAGTCATTGTCTTTGTCATAGAGACTTGTAAAGACAGCAACCTAATCTGATCACCTTTTATTATCCTGTAATAAACACACAGCTGTTAAGATAAGTATTTAACACGCCAACATATTTCTCAGTAAATATATTTCTAGATGTGCTATTGACATGACATTTTCACCAGATTTTTGTTTTTCCCCTTTTAATGGAAATTATTTTAGTTTATTTAGTTTAAATTATGTAGTTTAGTAGTTTATACATTGCTTGCTTAACAGTTTTACATATTGTTTTTTTTCTTTTACTTTAGCAAATAGGTTCTTTGTAAATCCTAAAACTGCTTATGAATATTTTAATCAAATTTCTTAGCATCCCATTATCTTAGACAAAACTTTCTTTTTACTAAACTTTAATTCTATCGTAAAAAAAAAACAAAAAATACACACATTAATATAGAATGAATAACATAATGAAAGTTGAAGAGACAAAATGACCCACTCATTGTTTGGTATTTTCTTTATTCTCACATTTCTAGTACCAGATAAACTAAATAAACTCAGGTGACATGTTCATAATCTAAGCTATGAGAGGGTTAAATAAATTAGGTGCTCTAAAAGGCTACGTTCACACTGCAGTCCTTGATGCTCAATTCTGATTTTTTTTTGTGAAATCAATTTTTTTTTGCGTTGCCGTTCACATTTCCAAATATATGCGACTTGTATGTGATCTCCTCTGTGAACTGCATTCATACAGATTAAGCGTCCCGCATGTGCATTAGAGGACGCAATGACGTCACAAACCAAAGTGCTTCGTGTTTACGGAACTAAACATGGATGAAGAGCTGGAGCACATATAGCGACCTTTCCAAACCTTAAAACCTCAGTCTTTTCGAGATGGTTAAAAAAATACTGCTCTCTACATTATCCTCCTCCATGGTTGTTTTACTTGCTGCTTCTGAGTAGCAAGAAGCAGAATAGTGACCAATGATAAGATAATTTGTCCCACAATGGGGAAATTGCAGCGTTGCATCACAGTGAACAGTACAGTAGGAAAAAAGAAAGAATACAAAATATAAAAAATGTTGAAAATATATATTAAGTATATACAGACAAGGCCATCACACCTTAGCCTTAGTTAAATGGCTAAGGCTAAGGTTACAAACACTGGTATGGAGTGACAACAGTAAAGTTCTGTGCAAATGATTGATTGTATAAATTATTGCAGAGTTAAATATAAGTGAAGTATACAATAGATATGCAATAATGTCGGGTATTAATGGCGTTCAGGTCGGATGAATGCGACCTGGCCGTTCAGACACAGGTCGCATTTGAAAAGATCGGATTCGTATCGGATTCAGGACCACATAGCCCAGCGGTCTGGGTCGGATTGGAAAAAATCGGATCTGTGTTGTTCAGACAGCCATGAAAAGATCAGATCCAGGTTGCATATGGGCCAAAAAATTTAATTTGGGTCACTTCAGGCTGCAGTGTGAACGTAGCCAAAGAAAAGCTAAAAAGTTAAGAATAGATTTACGTTTTGTTTAGCAATTAATTTCTGTTTTTTATATTGATATTGTTGCATGTTTAACATATTGTTCGTATTTGACTGTAAATATCAAACGTTTCCTCAGTTTGACTTATTGTTTAAAATGTATACTCTTTAGACTATATCTACAAACTGTTTTTTTTTTTGTACTTTCTGATTTCATTTACAATTAAACATACAGTATATTGGTTATAATATCTAAAATGTGCTGCTGGTTCCTTCAGAGTAAAATGAAGGGATTAGAAGATTATTCAGGTCAGCGCTATAGAGCTGTTTGTCATAGATCAGTTCCCACAGAGACGCTTTATTCCTTGATTCTGGTTCTGATTTCTCAGTCTCTGACTCACCAATTGCGGGTAAGATTTCAAACTGGTCAGTTTTTCCTACTGACCTGTTTGCAATGTTGAGCCAGTTCATAATTTAAAAGAATGATCTCAAAGTTCAGTTCACACAGATGAAAATGAAGTACCTCACGTTCATAGTTCAATTTTTCAAAAATTAACCAAGTTCACAAACCTATAAATGAGCTAGTTCAAGTTCATTTGGTAAATGAAGCCATAATCCGCCACAATAGAACTTCCTATTTCCCCCTTCAAATGTGTGATCATCATAATACATAGAAAGAAATGGAAAATACTGGATGCAGTGAAGGTATACTGGATGTGCAGTGAAGCCGTTATTTAGCTAAATTACACAGAACTTCATAAACATACAGGAACTGTCATGATTGGTTTAAGGCTAAACCCACATGCAGAACACAAACGGAGGCTGAGTAAAAGTTTAACAGAGTTTATTGAAAAAGGTTTTCACACAAAGACATGAACTGGTTCAGGTACTGGTCCGGGTTGGGTTCACTGATGTCTGCAGAAACGGACAGTTTGATTAGCCAGGCAGTCAGATGATTAATTGAGTCTTTAGATAATTCAGAGTCTACCTTGAAGAAGTCCAGGCTTTACTTGTGAGAGAGGGAACCGTTGGGTCCAGAGACTGTTGGTTCAGCAGAGTGCACAAGCAGCAGCAGCGTCTAGCTTCTGACTATGATTGGCAGACCTTGATCAGAGTTTCCAGCTCTTCTCTGAGAGCAGCATGAGAAATCCAGATTGGAATCTTCAGGTTTGGCTCACCAGGGCTGGCAGGCAGGTTAAGCTCATCCACAGCTTCAGACTTGAGACAGGTTTCCTGTGAGCAAAGACAGAGGAAGGTTAGAACCAGTTTTCTCACTTAGAGACAACTTAGATTCTTTCAGGTAACAGAGGCTCAGGTTCGCTAACCAAACTAAGGTCAACACTGCGGCGTTGAAGGAAGGTCTGGCAGCTGCTTATGTAGGGAAGGTCTCCTGATGAGCAGACGAGCTCCAGGTGTGCTGGAGGGCTCCAGCCCAGGAGACCCATGGCGCACTCTGCTGGAGAAAGGTGGTACATCTCCAGATCCCAACAGGAACATTCAGGATCTGCTGAAAAGATCTGGATAAAAATGGTTTCTTCCATTTGACATTCAGTAGCAGATATTTCCTAAGATAGCTTGGATGCTTTAACATGTGTCTCTTTAAGTTTAAGTGGACAACTCTGATGTACGGACATGCTTGTTCAGTCCCAGTGGGCACAGTTTGCACAAAAAGGTGAGTTTTTTCTGTCCAAGTCTTCCTCTGCTAAACTGGCACCAAAAATACCAGTAGATCAGTCTGAATAGAGCAGACTAGTACTAGCAGTAGAACAGTTGGTCTGTTATGCTGTACTGTAGTACTTTAATAAAGTTGTAACTCTGTGTTTCTGTTTCCAGGTTGGTGGAGATCCTGATGCTGTGACCTACAGCACAGTGAGAGACTGTTCCTCTTCTGCTGCAGCCTCTGAGAATCTCAACAACCTCTAAAGTGTCATAAGCTCCAATAACTGAAACAGCAAAGCAGACCTACTCTCTATAGTGGTAACATGGAAGTTTAGTAAAAGTTCATAAATTTTTTGACCAAATTAGCTCAAAATTTCTGCGTTCAGGGACTTAAAAAAAAACATGTTCATACTGAGGAACATTATGTTTGTTTTTAATTTATTCAAATATTACACAGATGGATTCTGGGTTTCACAGTAATCATCATCAAAGGTCTGTAAACAAAGGGTTTTCATAAAGCAAAGCAAGAAAAAATTGTGACAATAGTTAGTAATAAGCATAACTATAAATAAAACTGTTCAGTCATAGTCTTTATCATAAAGACAGCAACCTAATCTGATCACCTTTTATTATCCTGTAACAAACACAGAGCTGTTGAGATAAGTATTTAACACGCCAACATATTTCTCAGTAAATATATTTCTAGATGTACTTTTGACATGTCATTTTCACCAGATTTCTTTTTTTCCCACTTTTAATGGAGATGATGTTATGATGTAGTTTAGTACTTTATTCATTGCTTGCTTAATAGTTTGACATATTGTTTTATTTTATTTATTTTTTTAACTTCAGGTACATTAGGTTCTTTGTAAATCCTAAAACTGCTTATGAATATTTTAACCATTTTTTTTTAACATCCCATCATCTTAGACAGAACTTTCTTTTTACAAAACTTTAATTATATCATAAAAAAACACATTAATATAGAATGAATAACATAATGAAAGTTAAAGAGACAAAATGACCCACTCATTGTTTGGTATTTTCTTTATTCTCACATTTCTAGTGCCAGATAAAGCAAATAAACTCAGGTGACATGTTCATAATCTAAGATATGAGAGCGTTAAATAAATTAACTGCTTTCAAAGGCTACGTTCACACTGCAGGCCTTGATGCTCAATTCTGATTTTTTTTTTTGTGAAATCAATTTTTTTTTGCGTTGCCGTTCACATTTCCAAATATATGCGACTTGTATGTGATCTCAATTCCGATTTCCTGCATGCACAGTACAGGACCCAGTGATGTCACAAGCCAGCATGCTCAGTGTTTACAGAAGTAAACATGGGCGTAGTGCTGGAGCGCGTATAGCGATGTTTCCAAACCTTAAAACCTCAATCTTTTCAAGATTAATAAAAAAAATACTGCTCTCCACATTATCCTCCTCCATGGTTGTTGTTTTTCTTGCTGCTTCTGAGTAGCATGAAGCAGAATAGTGACCTATGTGGGGTATTAATAGCGTTCAGGTCGGATGAATGCGACCTGGCCATTCAGACACAGGTCACATTTGAAAAGATCGGATTCGTATCGGATTCAGGACCACAGAGCCAAGTGGCCTGGGTCACATTGGAAAAAAATCGAATCTGTGTTGTTCAGACAGCCATGAAAAGATCAGATCCAGGTCACATATGGGCCAAAAAAATCAGGTTTGGGTCACTTCAGGGTGCAGTGTGAACGTAGCCAAAGAAAAGCTAAAAAGTTAGGAATAGATTTATGTTTTGTTTAGTAATGAATTTCTGTTTCTTATATTTATATTGTTGCATGTTTAACAAATTGATGTTTGCATTTGACGGTAAACATGAAAAATTTCCCCGGGTTTGACTTATTAGTTAAAATTTATGCTCTTTAGACTATAATATCTACAAACTGTTTTTTTCTGTACTTTCAGATTTCATTTACAATTAAACATATATTGGTTATAATATCTAAAATGTGCTGCTGGTTCCTTCACAGAGTGAAATGAAGGGATTAGAAGATTATTCAGGTCAGCGCTATAGAGCTGTTTGTCATAGATCAGTTCCCACAGAGACGCTTTATTCCTTGACTCTGGATCTGATTTCTCAGTCTCTGACTCACCAATTGCGGGGTTAGATTTAAAACTGGCCAGTTTTTCCTACTGACCTGTGGGCAATGTTGAGCCAGTTCATAATTTAAAAGAATGATCTCAAAGTTCAGATCACACAGATGAAAATGAACTACTTCACACTCATGGTTCACTTTTTCAAAATTTAACCAATTTTACAAACCTATAAATGAGCTAGTTCAAGTTCATTTGGTAAATGAAACCATAATCCTCCACAATAGAACTTCATATTTTCCCCTTTAAATGTGTGATCATCATAATATATAGAAATAAATGGAAAATACTGGATGCAGTGAAGGTATACTGGATGTGCGTGAAGCCGTTATTTAGCTAAATTACACAGAACTTCAAAAACATACAGGAACATTCAGGATCGGCTGAAAAGATCCGGATCAAAATGGTTTCTTCCATTCGTCTTTTCGTAGCAGATATTTGCTAAGATAGCTTAGATGCTTTAACATGTTTCTCTTTAAGTTTAAGTGGACAACGCTGATGTCCGGACTTGTTCAGTCAGCTTGTTCAGTCCCAGTTGGCACAGTTTGCACAAAAAGGTGAGTTTTTTTCTGTCCAAGTCTTCCTCTGCTAAACTGGCACAAGAAATACCAGTAGATGTGTCTGAATGGAGCAGACTAGTACTAGCAGTAGAAATGCTGATCTGTTATGCTGTAATAAATGCCATAAAACCTGATGTTATCCAGTAAATAGTGTTGTCGTCAACTCAACGTGAACATGAGCTGTGTGTGTTGTCACTACCTGATCTACACCATCAGCTCATTTGGGCCATCAGATATACATCTTGGTCGCCCTTGGATTTACTTTGTTAAAAAGACCTAAATTACGTTTTTCCCTCCCTAAAATAGTAAGCATACTAAACTATAATGTCTGTAAAGGTTAACAATGTATTACCTGAGAAAATTATCCATCCATCCATCCATCTTCCTCCGCTTATCCGGGGTCGGGTCGCGGGGGCAGCAGCTTAAGAAGGGAGGCCCAGACTTCCCTCTCCCCAGCCACTTCTTCCAGCTCTTCAGGAGGAACCCCAAGGCGTTCCCAGGCCAGCCGAGAAACATAGTCTCTCCAGCGTGTCCTGGGTCTTCCCCGGGGCCTCCCCCCTGAGAAAATTAATTCATTTAAATTCTGTTTTATCACTCATCGGTGCCCGATCTGTGCTGGAAATGTGATCCTAGGCTACTTCCAGGACCTAACTTTTTTGTCTTTGGATTTAAATAAAAATCTATTGTTTTTGAATTTTCTTTTGTCCTTTCATGTTAACCTTATGGTATATATTGGTAATCTAAAGATAGAAACAATTGATATGCAGATAAACATGGTTTAATCTTATTTTGCGGACCTGCTCTGGACGTGTTTGATGATGACATCAGACAAGCTGTTTCACAAAGAAAATGTAAAAAGCATCAAATTGTCCCAGAAAAAAGTCGTATATACATATATTTAGAGATGTTGTGCAGCATTCTTTATTGTCTCAAAGAATAAATATAAGTAATTTAAGTACCATATGTATATCTGGGTGAATATCTGCTTGCACCTGCTGAAATGAACTGATGGTACACATCGGGTAGTGACACGTGTTGCTCATTATTCTGAGTGAACGTTGCTCTCGTTCACATTCATTCCTTCAAAGCTGGTCCGTTCGGTTCACTGTTCTCTAAAAATATGATCATATTTAGTGAACAGCGTTAATTGAATGCGTTGAAGCGCAACACTACCTGTTGGTTATTATATTACAGTAGTTGTCTAGCAGTAAACACAGGAGGAGATAGGTAAACAGGTGAAAGTTTTCCAGTTGGATAAATGCTTCTACTTCATTTAAGGATAGAAAATTAGAACTTAGGAGGTAAAACATTGAAAAATCAACATTATGAATAATTAAAACTTGTTTGGAGTAAAATAAGGGGTTAATATTTATGAACTTGTTCTCCTTCAGTATATGGCTCCATTCACACCTTTAAGCAACAAGAAACTGAAATGGTCTGATAACTTTTTCAGAGCGACGTGAATAAAGGTATCAACTCAGATTTTTAGGGCAGTGAGAACATGTGACTAACTTATGGAGGTATGGAGGCCTCAGTCCTCGATGCAGCTGAAACAACAGGGTTGAGTGTTTAATGCCCCCCACCCCCCCATGCATTTTCTCTCTTTGAACAATATCAATGAAGACCACTGGTGTCACAAACATAAAGACAAAAATAGTCACTGTTTACCATCATGTATTTCATAACCCTAAATTCTGATTTTTGAACAATGAAGTTTTTCCTAAAAATGTTTTCCTGAATGAGTTGAGAACAATAAGTGGCCAAGTTAGAGAGTGCATTGAAACATTTGAAATCGTTTAAAATGCATTTTTATTTCCTCATACTTTGACAGCTTAGTTTGCAGCACTGGGCTGGTCACACTCGGAAAGATTGACCCAAAACTGCAAAGTAAATCAAACAAACTGAGTTTAGAAAGCTGTTCTCTGGTAATAAGGAATGTCACAGTGGAGGATGCTGGTCGTTATCAATGCCAACAATACAAATCTGGAAACAAATCACATCCTCACATCCTGGTTCATGTGCAGTTCATGTGTCTGTTGTCCACAGTGAGTATTAATATGAAGTCATTTTTCTCCTTGTCACTGTTTTATTAATACTGTTGTTGTTGTTTTACTGCAGAATTAATATTTTGTCTGAAAAATATAAACTCATTTACAGCCACAATAAGTACAATGACTTATTCTGTATGTCTGGTGTGAAATGTCTCCTACTGTTTCCTCATCAGTAACTAAACAAAGGTACACAGATAAAGGGACATTAACTTGTTCTGTGAAGACATATGGACGGTGTGATTACAAAGTGAAGTGGCTGCATAGCTGTCCTGCTGGAGCTCCAGATGTGAAACACTGTGAGTCAAAACAGCCTGACTGCTCTGCTGCAGTTTGTTTTATTGAGCAGTCCTACATGCAGAGGTGTGTGTTTGGGTGTAACGTCACACACGGTGGAACCAGACAGCTCTTCAACTTCAACAATCCATCCTCTAAAATTAAATCATTTGAGAAAACTTGTTGCTTCAGGTTAATTACCTTACTCAAAATCTCTGATCTCATGAAATTTCTATTTTGCATGTAACTATTGTTGCAGCACATTAAATACTTGAACATATTAACTCTTTGGTCTTGTTAGTATCTTTGTCTGAAGTTGAAACAAAAGCTGAAACCACATGCAGCCCAACCAGAGAAATTGAAGAAAGAACAGAACCAGTTCCAACCACAACAGACTCCTCATCTAATGGAGGTAAAGATGCTGTGATACTGTCTTGTTGTTGCAGGTATTTTCATCTCACTCAACCTTTTTCTGTCATCTCAACCCTTACGTTGAAACAATAGCTGAGAGCCCACGCAGCCCAACCAGAAATATAGAAAAAAACAGGGAACCAGGTCCAACGCCAACAGACTCATCATCTAATGGAGGTAAAGATGCTGGGATGTTGTTTCATTGTTGTAGGTTTTTTTCTCGCCACTAAACCCTTAAACTTGTTTTAAGTGTTTATTGAAAATGATGGCAGCATTTGTAGAAATTCCCATGAAGACACCTCTGATATTTTTTTCAATATGTATTATGGAGCTTCAGATTAAGTTTAGAAAATAATCTCTAATCTTTGGCTCTGAAATATATCACAGCAACAACAAGCTTCATCAAATAATTCACCTGCTAGTATGTAATTCCCAAGTTCTGTCAATTCTATGAAACACTATTCAGAAAGCAATATATAAAGTGCTGATTGTTCTAAAATAAGCTCTCCTAATAACGATAACTGATAATGTTTTTTTCCCCGCATTTATTTAGAAATGTCTTAACCGAAAGAAAGCATCAGGTTGTGTTATTAGTGTGTTTCACATATTGCTTTTATTTTATATTTCAGACTTAAATACCATAAACAACGTAATGCAATATAAGACCAATTTTATTTAAAAAAAATAATATAATCATTTGATTTTGTAGAGAATATAATAACAAAATAAAGACAATTAAAAACATAGGTAAAGGAAAGCTGTTATTACTTAGACCTTCGACAAGAGAACAATATTCTTGTTTCTCTTTCAGGTTTATGGCGTATCATCATCGTCTCTGTGGGTTTAGCAGCACTTTCTATAACGGTTGTGAGCTTCAGCGTTTGGACCAGAACTAACCACAGGGATCAGTGCTGGGACCAATTCTCTTTACTTTATACATGCTCCCAATTGGTAGAATTATTAGACAGCATGGGATTAATTTCCACTGTTATGCTGATGATACCCAGCTATATCTGTCTATAAATCCAGATGAAGCTAACCCATTACATAGATTACAGGCATGTCTTGAAGACATAAAAACCTGGATGACTCTTAACTTTCTGCTTCTGAATGCAGATAAAACAGAAGTTATAGTCTTTGGACCAGAGTCTCTGAAAAAGAAACTGATTAGCCAGTCACTTCATTTGGATGGGATTAAACTGATTTCAGATAATAAAGTAAAAAATCTTGGTGTTATTTTTGATCAGGACCTGTCATTTAAATCCCATATCAAAGAGGTTTCTAGAATTTCCTTCTTTCATCTGAGGAACATTGCAAAAATTAGAAATATCCTGTCCAGGGGTGATGCTGAGAAACTAGTCCATGCATTTGTTACTTCAAGGCTGGACTATTGTAATTCTTTACTATCAGGAAGTCCACAAACTGTAGTTAAAAGCCTTCAGCTGATCCAAAATGCTGCAGCCAGGGTTCTGATGAAAATTAAAAAGAGAGATCATATCTCGCCTATCCTGGCTTCTCTTCATTGGCTTCCTGTTAAATCAAGAATAGAATTTAAAATCCTCCTTCTCACATATAAAGCCTTAAATGGCCAAGCACCATCTTATATCAGAGATCTGATTGTTCCTTATGTTCCTAACAGAGCACTTCGCTCTCAATCTGCAGGTTTACTAGTGGTTCCTAGAATTTCTAAAAGTAGAATGGGAGGCAGATCTTTTAGTTATCAGGCTCCTCTCCTGTGGAACCAACTACCAGTTTTAGTCCGTGAGGCAGACACCCTGTCTACTTTTAAGGCTAGGCTTAAAACTTTCCTTTTTGATAAAGCTTATAGTTAGGGTGGCTCAGGTTATCCTGAGCTATCTCTATAGTTATGCTGCTATAGGCTTAGACTTTTGGAGGACATAGGGACCCCCATTTCATCATTCTGCTTCATTCTCTCTCTGTTCTCCTATTCTGCAGAATCTGTTAGTTCAATCTCTAACCTTCTGCTCTCTCTGCTTTTCCTCAGAGTAGCTTTGCCTCGTCTGTTCCTGTTTGGCTGTGACGTCATCCTGGAAAGAAACATCAGCTGTGCTGCTTCCATCAACACCCTTGTTTATAGATGTTGGAGATCGGCCTGTTTTCCAGTGTGGTCCTGTTTCTCTGGCCGTGACTGAGTGGATGATCTTCGTCCTCTGGCATGGGAGCTGCCTTGGAGCTCGTCTGCCTGGCTGTGTGTTTCCTGGACGGGGCCGCCTTTTACAGCTGCTTTTTGTATCTCTGTTTCTGTCTCCTTGAACCCCAGTCGGCCTCGGCAGATGGCCGCTCACACTGAGCCTGGTTCTGCTGGAGGTTTCTTCCTGTTAAAAGGGAGTTTTTCCTCTCCACTGTCGCTACAAGCATGCTTAGTGTGGGGGATTGTATTTGAGTCAATGAGTCAATGCAATCAACTGGTTTTCCTTAGATAGAAAACTTTGTACCAATTTGACTGTATGATCTGGTTGAACTGTAAAGTGCCTTGAGATGACATGTGTTGTGAATATGGCGCTATATAAATAAACTGAATTGAATTGAATTAAAGGTAATATAGAAAGAAATGGAGCAGATTTATAATCTCAATTTACTTTTGAATGATTATAGAGTTGGTGTAAATCTCAGAATATTAATTACTGTGCAGAAAAAGTTGGTTTATTGTGTTTATTCTGTTACTGATGTAAAGTTAGGGATATTATTGTCACTATTTGCATTTTTAAACTAAATTTTTACCAACCTATCTCATTATTGCCAACAAAAAAAGCTCTACAGTCAAGGCTTAGCCTGATCTATTTTGATTATTTGATATTTAAGATTCTCTGTGAAAAGAGAAATTATGTTGTCATTGATGAAAAATATCTGCCCAGAATAATGGTAATAGTGGATAAAATGAGGTGAAAAGTTGTTTGCAACAACAACCTGACTGAGGTTATCAAGCAGCCTCCCAGTGAGAGAAACACTTTGCAGGAGCAGCTCTATAGGCTGTCACTTCCACCTCTCAGGTGCTTCTAGATCTTTACCAACTGAACCCAAAGCTGCAGGAAGGAAAAGACAAACATGCAACAAGATCAGAGTCCTATTTGACTAAAACAAGATTCTGATGCATGAGCCTGGCTTTATCTCCTATTCTGGGATTTTTTTTAATTCAGCTTTTGTGAAAAAGGCCTCTGAGCTACCAGAATATCACGTGTCTAAGGCTCTGGATTACCTTTAAGAGTTACTTAGTTTGACATGTTGAATAGTGATTCAGTGATTGCATTAAATGCTGCTGAATTATTTTCTTTTTTAGGTTTCTAAAAGACGTGATGTTGGTTTTTCTATTTTTAATCTTCCTTAAGAGGATAAAGAAGATGACGATGGAGAGAACTATGAAAACATCTGAGGACTCTTTAGTTTGACCAAATATACACAGCCTTGGCTTTAGATTTATATAGATTTGTGTTTGGAAAAGTTTAAAGCAGAATATATTTCACTTCAACATGGAGAAAAGCAAATATCACCTTAAAGTATCACAAAGCAGAAAAAGTATTAATGTTTGTTTAATTGTGTGGCATTACAGAATCAATATATCTGATATTTGAATGACGTTTGAAAACTAAATCTGTTTAAGTAAATATGCTAAATGCTTTTAAGTGTAAAGCTGAGATGAGCTTAGAGGTTGTTTGGTTGTGTTGGGATCTGGAGATGTACCACCTTTCTCCAGCAGAGTGCGCTGTGGGTCTGCTGGGCTGGAGCCCTACAGCACACCTGGAGCTCATCTGCTCATCAGGAGACCCTCCCTACATAAGCAGCAACCAGACCTTCCTTCGACGCCGCAGTGTTGACCTTAGTTTGGTTAGCAACCTGAGCCTCTGTTACCTGAAAGAATCTAAGTTGTCTCTAAGTAAGAAACTTGGTTCTAACCTTCCTCTGTCTTTGCTCACAGGAAACCTGTCTCAAGCCTGAAGCTCTGGGTGAGCTTAACCTGCCTTCCAGCCCTGGTGAGCCAAACCTGAAGATTCCTATTTGGATTTCCCCATCTGCTCTCTATGAAGAGCTGGAAACTGTAATCAAGGTCTGCCATTCAAAGTCAGAAGCTAGACGCTGCAGCTGCTTGTGTACTCTGCTGAACCAACAGTCTCTGGACCCAACGGTTCCCTCTCTCACAAGAGAAGCCTGGACCCCGTCAAGGTAGAATCAGAATTATCTAAAGGACTCTTTAATCATCTGCCTGCCCAGCTAATCAAACTATAATCTCTGCAGACTTCAGTGAACCCAACCCGGACCTGTTCCAGATCCAGTTCATGTTTTTGTGTCAACATCTTTAATAAACTCTGTTAAACTTTTACCCAGCCTCCGTTGTGTTCTGCATGTGGGTTTGATATAAAACCAGTCATGACAGGTTGATGACGTCATTGTGTGGCTGAAGCATCACAACAGGCTGCCTGGTTTAGCAAAGAGGAGTTTTTGTCTAATTATTCTGTTTTATTATGGCTCAAAATATTTTAGCTCTTGATGTGTGTAGAGTAACTTGAAGAATCTTTAGGAATCATTTCCTCATTTTTGACCATTTTGCTTTTCAATCTACTTCCTTTAGTCTGCATGATCTGTTTTTTTTTATCTCTCTTCTTAAAGATGTTCTGTTTTTATAATTCATTGTGTAAAAACTGTAATGCTCATGTGTAGTTAAATTAGTTTCCGTCTACAAATGTGTTATTATATGGCTGTAGCCTCAAATAAACTAAGTTAATGTCTGTTAATGTCACCCATCAATGTGTTAACCATGTATATTTCTCTGTTCATTGTGGGTTAAAACCTCCAGAGCTCTGCTGCTGCTGTTCACCACATTCTCACCAATGACTTCCTCTTCAGTTCATAGAAAAACTGGAAACCAGCAAGTTTTAAAAGTAAAATACAATCTTACCAGTGTGACTGATCTATCAAATTAGACATTTGATCTGCTGCTCTTCATCAACACAGATCAGATCTCCTGGATTTATCTGAATAATCGTCCAAGTTTCTGAAACATCTAAACAAAAGAAGTGCATTTCTCACATTTATCTAAAGTAAAAATATTCACACACTGATCTACTTCCTCTTTTGTGGCCTTCTTGCATGTCACTGTCTGTAACGTCCTTTAATCAGGCTGAACAAAAAGCTCTCACAATGTTTAAGTTTATATTTTTTACTACAGCTCTTTTCTTGAAATGTTCTTGTTAAAAGAATTACAAGTCATAGTTGTAACTAATAGATGTTTTTACCACATAAAGCAGCGAGTCGCCCATCAGTCAGAGTGAGGAAGTGGTGAGTCTCAGGAAGTAGAAGCTACATGTGTGTTCAGCAGGCAGTCAGACAGTTCTGAGGGTGAGAGCAACAGACGCACGATGGCTCAACTCAGATGGATTCAAGGGTTTTTATTCATGAACCTGCAGCTCACAGGTAGGAAGACTGTATAGAGCTATGATAGATCTACTTTATTCAATGTCTGTGCTCAGATTAAATATTTCTGGTTCTGTTTTATCTTCTAACAGTCACTAAATGGATCTTCAGTGCTTCAGGAAGCAGAGCATTGGCCTATATTGGATGAGTACGGATTCAAGAGTTATTAGCTGCTGTAAGATATCAATCCACCGCTTCCTTAGTAGATCCAATGATCTATTTATTTACTGGATTGCCGAAAGGCGTTAAGCTTTACATGGTGCTATGAAGTCACGAGCCGCCATATTGTTACTCCCTAGTAAGACCGGTCGAGATGTAAACAATATATGCACTACAGTATCGAACAAAAATTATGTTCTCATCTTCAGGGGGGTAAAGTCATCACTTTTTTACACATGCTGTTTCATAGCATCAGTAGATTACTGTCATTTAAGGCAGCGATTCCCAAATGGGGAAAACTCGTACCCCTGTTGGTCCGTGAGTGTATTGCAATGGGTACATGAAAATACTTTATTTGTTAGGTAATAGAAAAATAGGGGTGGGATCTATTTTGTTTTGTGAAGAACCAATAGAAAAAAAAGAAGCTTTGATAAACTAAAAAGTAAATTTTCTTATATGTTTGAGTTCACCTTCAGATTTGAAGCACATTAAAACCAAGCAGAAGGACAGACTGGAAATAGACAACATCCTGGGATCAGCTGTTTTTCACACTGACCTATTGGAGCTGATCAAAGAAAACTCAGGTGTCTTGATGAAAGCAAAGTAAAACTAATTAAGTCAAGTTAAACGTATTTTATAATCAGTTTTGGTATGTTCCACTTTTATACAGTCATCAATATTTTTGACTGAGAGGGGAACTCATGATAAGACAAAGTGCCCAAAGGCGAACACAAGTCAAAATAAGTTGGGAAACACTGATCTAGGGTAAGAAATAGGCACACCACATTGCATATTCAGTATGAGGTCCATGAAGACTATAAATCATGTAATATAACATATTATGCACATCATCGCGAAAAAATGAGTGTGTTAATAGAGCATAATAATACTGTTAGATATTAAAAATTGTAGAGGCTCTAGACTGTTAGTTGTAATAAATTTAGTAAGCCTCTAGATGGTGATAAATCTTACACACTGTCATTTTAAGTGTCATGATTGGCTAATGGACTTAACCCACATGCAGAACACCAAACTGGAGACAGAGGAAAATTTAACAATGTTTATTATGGAGGAAAAACACAGAGTAATAAGGACTGGTTCTGGTACAGGTCCGGGACTGGTTTCACAGATATCTGAAGGGATGAGAGTTTAGTTAGCCAGGCAGTTAGATGGTTTGACGAGTGAGTAAGTTCTGAATGTACCTTGAAGAGGTTCTGACAGATCCTTGAGATGGGGAACCGGTTGGGTCCAGAGATTGTGGAAGTAGCAGAGAGCTCAGCAGCAGCAGCGTCTAGCTTCTGGTTAGAGAGACTCTGACGTGGGCTTGGTTCCTAGCTCTTCCCTGAGAGCCGAGGGAGGAATCCAGACTGAGATCTTCAGGTTTAGCTTCCTAGCTCTTCCCTGAGAGCTGAAGGAGGAATTCAGACTAAGACCTTCAAGTTTGGCTTCCTTGGGCAGGCAGGCAGGTTTCCAGGTAAAGCTCATCCAGAGCTTCAGACTTCGGTCAGGTTTTCTGTGAGTAAAGAAGACAGAGGCAAGTTAGAATCTAGTTCCTCTCTAGAGTCTACTGTGATTCACTATGTTTACAGAGGCTTAGGTTTGCTAACCAAACTTGGTCAACACTGCAGCATCGAAGGAAGGTCTGACTGCTGCTTATGTAGGAAAGTCTCCTGATGAGTTGATGAGCTTCAGGTGTGCTGGAGGCTCCAGCCCAGGAGACCCACAGCGCTCTCTGCTGGAGACAGGTGGTAGATCTCCAGATCCCAACAGTAACCCCAGACCTTAACAAAAAACATAACAGAAGAGGATCCTCGGCGCCCTCTGGTGGGCAAGCCTCAGGATCCCAACAGAGCCCCCCCCCTCAAGGGCGGATTCCAGACGCCCTCAGAACAGTCCATGAAAAAAAAAAAAAAAAAAAACACCCAGGGCGGGCGGAGGGGGCACTAGGGCAAGGAGGGCCAGAAACAACAAAAACAGAGTCCAAAAAACAACCCACCCAGGGTGGGCAGAGGGGGAAACAGGCCAGGAGGGCAAAAAACACAAACTTAGTCCAGAACAAAAAACAATCCACTTAAGGTGGACGTAAGCAACAAAAGTCTCTGATAGTTAATAATATAAAGTCTCAGGTGGCCGGCCGTGGGACCGGCAACGAGGCAGAGTCTAAGGTGGCCGGCAGTGGGACCGGCAGCGAGGCAGAGTCTCAGGTGGCCGGCCGTGGGACCGAAGACGTGACAGAGGTTCTGGAGGCCGGCCGAGGATCTGGCAGCGGAGCAGAGTCTTGGGTGGCCGGCTGGGGGACCGAAGGCGCCGCTGACGCTCTGGAGGTCGGCAGCGGGGCCGGAGGCGACGCAGCTTCTTAGGAGGATGATGCCCCACTTTCAGTAGGTAGCCCCAAGGGGTACCCCGTCCCCTCTTCAGCGGCTCTGGAACAGGCTCTGAGGTGGCCGCCGACTGCGGCTCTGTAACAGGCTCTGAGGTGGCCGCCGACTGCGGCTCAGGAACAGGCTCTGTGAAGACCGCCGACTGCAGCTCCTGGACTTGAACAGAGGAGCCCGCCGATTGCGGCTCTGGAACAGGCTCTGAGGTGGCCGCCGACTGCGGCTCAGGAACAGGCTCTGTGAAGACCGCCGACTGCGGCTCCTGGACTTGAACAGAGGAGCCCGCCGACTGCGGCTCCGGGTCAGGAACAGAGGAGCCCGCCGACTGCGGCTCCGGGTCAGGAACAGAGGAGCCTGCCGATTGCGGCTCCGGGTCAGGAACAGAGGAGCCCGCCGATTGCGGCTCCGGGTCAGGAACAGAGGAGCCCGCCGATTGCGGCTCCGGGTCAGGAACAGAGGAGCCCGCCGATTGTGGCTCCGGGTCAGGAACAGAGGAGCCCGCCGATTGCGGCTCCGAGTCAGGAACAGAGGAGCCCGCCGATTGCGTCTCCACCTCAGGAACAGAGGAGACCACCGATTGTGGCTCCATCTCAGGAACAGAGGGGACCATCGACTGTGGCTCCACCTCAGGAACAGAGGTTACCACCGACTGTGGCTCCACCTCAGGAACAGAGGTTACCACCGACTGTGGTTCCACATCAGGAACAAAGGGGACCACCGACTGTGGCTCCACCTAGGGAACAGAGGAGACCACCGACTGTGGTTCCACATCATGAACAGAGGAGACCACCGACTGTGGCTCCAACTCCAGCAAGGGAGAAACCGCCCGTGGCGGCAAAGGTTCGGTCTCTGAAGAGGCTGGTGATGCTCGCAGAGGACTCTTGGCGGTCAGGGACACCTGCAGAAAAGTCCAGGGAGGCGTAAAATCACATACCTCTTTAAGATTCTGCTCGGGGGTCTCTGGACGGCACAGAGCTAACTCAGGGGTCTCTGGACGGCACAGAGCTAACTCAGGGGTCTCTGGACGGCACAGAGCTAACTCAGGGGTCTCTGGACGGCACAGAGCTAACTCAGGGGTCTCTGGACGGCACAGAGCTAACTCAGGGGTCTCTGGACGGCACAGAGCTAACTCAGAGGTCTCTAGATGGCACAGAGCTAATTCAGGGGTCTTTAGACGGCTCAGAACCGGCTCGGGAGTCTCTAGACTGCTCGGAGCTGGTTCAGGGGTCTCTAAACGGCACGGAGTTGACTCAAGGGTTTCAAAATGGCATGGAGCTGACTCAGGAGTTTCGAAGTGGCACAGAACTGACTCAAGATGGCTCACAGCTGGCTCAGGGGTCTCTAGACGGCTCAGAGCTGGTTCAGGGGTCTCTAGACGGCTCAGAGCTGGCTTACGGCGCCGCCGTCTCTTAAGTGGGGGTTCGTTAAGAGCAGGGCTAATAGGTTCAGAGACTGACTGAGAGAAAAGGCTAACTGGTGTGCAATAGGGTTCAGGTGCTGGTTTAGCTGAAATGCTAACAGTCATAGGAGTTGAATTAGTTGGTT